CCCTCCCCCGTGTTATGAACTTAGTTGTCTGACAAAATTTTACCGCCACTCACACAGACAATCTCATACACGCCCATACATGCACGAGAGAAGGGGGAGAGGAGACATAGTCCAAACTACATACAGATCAAAGTAGATAGCGGAAGCACAACCATGCACAGATGGGGAGAGGACACACAGTGTTTCTCACTCTCTGACGATACTCCGACCAACCAATCACAAGAAAGAACCTGCGAGGATAACAATTGGAATACACACTGAAGATGAGCCAATTAATCAGAAATCGTTACAGAGTTTGTTCCAGTGTCTCGCCACTCTCAGAACCTCACACTTCACTCTCTACCCTACACCCAGTTAGTAGCGCCACATCAGAATGGCCTCCCAGAGGCCAGCGCCAACCACCCAGATGAAGAACAGATCCTGTGATGAAGTCTTCAGTGCCGCTGAACAACTCTGACGAAGAACCAGCAGCTATGGCTGCCGCCACCCACAAGGACTCAGTGAAGAGTCCTCACACAGCCCAGCCACTCGCAGGAACCCACAGGGGTTGGTGCGCCGAGGATGCCCCAACTATGGCAGGTCCTCAACAGGCTGGCTATGGCTTTTGTTCGCGGTGAGGGTCTCAGGGTCCGCCTGCAGACAATCGCCGCTGCAAAACGCTCCTGGCTCCAAACGCTGCATCGTGAAAATGAATTGCCAGAAGTCCCAAACTGATTCCCCTAAACTATTAATAGACTTCTACCATTCTAGCCTAGACCTAGACCGGACTGACTGACCGACCGGTACCGTTTCTGTTTCAGCCTCCCGGCCTCTACCGGACCCAGCTATAGGCTATAGGACCGTCTATCAGCTTAGGCCCTTAGGACCTGTCTGTCCTAGGGGTAGCCCGGGCCTGCTAAACGCAGTAAGGGTAGCTGTAGGAAATTCGAAGTACCGCTGGGCCTATTTTCCCATATTTGCAGATATGTCCCTCATGAATTTTCCTTACAGGTAGGTCTCTCGGTTAGCCCTCAGCCAAACAAAATTACAAATCTAACCTACTGCTGTACTGTACAGCCTCGAGGTTAGTCTCGGCAGTCGAAATCAGCAAGTCATTGCACCCGCCTCCGCAACCCCAAGACTCCCTACCTCCTATCCCCTGACTCGCCCCCTCTGCTTCCCACAAACACACCTCCCAGCGCAGCTGTATCCCTGACCTCTCCGCTGCCAGAAAACCCCTACCCCCCCCACTCCAACCCAGCCCCCCTCGGACAAGCTGCAGGACAATGACTGGATCAGCCTCTCCAGCCAAAGGGTGGATGAAGCACAGATAACAGCTAACGACAAGTAAAGCCTGGCCAAGCAACCACAAGAAATAGTGACTACAGCTCACCAGCAATGGCAGAGACATACTCAGAGTTGGTAATGATCGGCTGATCCGCAGAAGTAATACACAGGAAGCAGATATGGGCGACCAACCGGTCTACGGTACAAGGGCTCTCACACACCCAGTGACATACAAGACAGATTCAGATGTGCTGCAATCGCCTTGGCTCAGTGTACCACTCTCCGTCGCAATGGGCTTTAAGGATCAATAATGTGGCATGCATGGGTTTTGAGAGGGTATAAGGTTTAAAGGGCTTACAGGGACAGATGTTGTAATAATGATCAGGGGGCTGCTGAATAGGGCTGTGTAAATAATACAAGGGGAGCTCCAAGATGGGATGGGTATTACTGGCAGCTCCATGGGTTAACGGAGCCCCAGACTGACAACTGAAATGACTACAGCCCTGGGAACAACGATTGAAAGTCTCTGTGTTGCAAGATGTATCAATGGGACGCTGGACCCGGTTTCCAGCAGGTACAAAACTCCAATATAGGAATAGGAAAGGTTGCCAGCTCTCAGTAGCAGACATGTGAACTGTGTACATTACCACTCAATTTAGGCATACTGTAGGCTGTCAGGTATGCAAGCAGCTTAGGCAATTTGGTCGCTCTACTTCCCTATTTATGTACTTTGTAGGTGAGCCCTGTAGCCCACTGTCATCACAATGGTATGTCTGATTCATCAAACAAACAGTTATAATGTTCAGGGACGCTGGACCCGCTTTCCAGCAGGTGCTGCTCCCCACCAATAGATCGAGCCTCCCCCTGGAATGCTAGCGGTGCCTGCTCTTACCAGCACCCCTAGCATCCGCGAGGGCTGCTAAAAAAAAAGAAAAAAAAAAGAAAAAAAAAAGAAAAAAAAAGAAAGAAAGAAAGATTAAAAAAAAGATAAAAATGTGTCAGCCCATCCATAAGCCTAGAATTGTTGGAGACATCAAGTCTACTCAAAGACCACCCTGCAAGTGCCAGAGTCACCAGAGCAATGAGCCAGATTGCCAAGACTTCGCCTTCCTCCAAATAGCTCATTGCACCCAGTACTCATAGAGCCACCGATGCCCTTTTACTCTTTTTCTTTTTTTTCACAGAAATTAGGTTGTGTGAGGTATAATTGAGAGAAGGATATAGTTCAATAATGAAAATAACTAGCTAAGTACCCACGGTGCGGGGGGTGCGGGCTACGCCCGCAGATATAACAAATTCAGTGGGTGACCTCACACTGCATTTTGGATGGCTCGCCTCCAAGATGTCCGTCCGCAGAAACAATGACGGCCTACCGGGGGCCACAAAACGACAGCCGCGCAATAAATGAAAAAAGAAGGAAGGAAAAGAAAAAGAAGGGGGGACACAAAACGACAGGCGCGAGAAATGAAAAAAGGAGAAGGGGGAAACAAAACAATGGCCAACCGAAAAAAAAAAAAAAAAAAAAAAAAAAAA